GACGTACGCGGAACGGCGCCCCTGCAGTTCAATTTGCCGCGGTGCCGAGCTTGGAGGATACAACAGGCAGTGTTTTGGCAAATGCCTCGCGCGGAGTCTGAATAGCACACAGGTTGCCATGATTGTTCTGGACGGCAGTCCACGAGAGATCCAGAGGCAACAGTTTGGAAGCAGGTTCCGAGAGCCCCAGCTGCTACGACAGCCGTTTCCCCACGTTTGAAAATTGTCCGGTAGAGCCATGCCGCCGTTTAAGGTCTCTTTGCGCGATGATTGCTTCCTCTGATTCTTGAGCAGGTAGTCATGCATGATGTTTCACCCGCCTCGCTTGAAGATATTCCCAATGCGGCGACACGGTTGAACCTGCCTTTGTTAGCCTATCTTTGTGGATTGTTTGGCCATTGGTTATATCCTGGCGGATCGCGGGGTCGGGAGGAAGGAAGCTTTCCTTGTTTCTGCCGCGGCGGGGGCTGGGGGTCAGCAGCGGGGGGACGTGTATGCTTAGAGGATGGACGAGGGAGAGAGGATGGGAGAGGAGGAAAGGTGAAGTGGAATGGAGTTGGTTTGAGGGTTCTGCGCCCTCTGCCGTTTTGCAGTGGGCACCCTTTCACCCCGATGTAAGTTAGGGGAGAGAGGGCTTCTCCGTGAAAAATGGCAAAGTATCAGACATGCCTATACATTGTCTTTCCGACGAACTCGCTCACGGTTGCGAAGCCATCCTTTCTCCTCCGCTTCATCCTCCTCACCCTTCTCATCGCCATCATCAACCACATCCTCATCCTGATATGCATTATCCCTATTATCATCTTCGTCCTCCTGCTGCAGCAGCATCGTCCTTATATTGGTCGTCCTCCTCCTCCTTATCCAATACTCGTCCTCGTTGCCTTCATCTGCCTCCTCCTGATCATTGGCATACGCATCTTCGTTTTGCTTCTGATCATCACGTCGCCCCACTTCCTTCATCCTCCGTCCTCGTCCTTGTTTTCCTCCCGATCCCCATCCCCCCTCATCCACATCCTCATTATCATGAACATCGTCCTCCTTTTCGTCTTGCTGCCGATCCTGACGTCGACCCTCCTTCATCCTCCTCCGTTCTCGATCTTGTCTTTCTCCTCCTAATCCTGCATACCAGTTCACTCCCCCTCCCTCCTACCCTCAGCCCTCCCCCTCTCCTCCTCCTCCTCCTCCTCCTCCTCCTCCTCCTCCTCCTCCGCCTCTTCCTCCTCCTCCCATCACTTCTCCCATTACTCATCCTCATCCCATCACTCCTCTCCCACCCTCAACCCTCCCCGTCTTCCTCCTCCTCCTCCTCCTCCTCCTCCTCCTCCTCCTCCCATCACTCCTATCACCCCTCCCGTTCTCTTGGGGCGGAGGGTTCGAAAGGTGGATTCGATGTTCCTTGTTGCGGCTTGTGTTGGGGTCCTCTTAGGCCATCTTCGGCGCCTATTGGGCAGTCCTGGGGCCCTCCTGGGCGATTTTTGGGGCCCTCAGGGGGGCTTGTTGGATCGCGTTGAAGCGGTCTTGTGAGCCTCTTGAGCCGTCTTGGGAGTTGTGAAGACGAAGAAGGCGCATGTGCTAAAGATGCACGCTCTCCCAACGCGCTGAAACGCATTTGCCACTCGGGACCCCCGTGGAAGTCTTTTCGGAACTCCTTGTGGGCCTCTTCGAAGCTTCTTGGGGCGACTTGAGGCTGTCGTGGGTGTCTTTGAAGCTTCCACGATATATCGGAGACCAGTTGGAGCAAGCTTCGATGGAATCTCAGGCTTCTTGGAGGCCACGGAGTTAGGATTTGAAGGCTCCAGAAGCCCCCCGGGGTACGTTGACGAGGCCGTGCCCCCCAATAGGGGGGTTGTGGGGAGGGGCCCAGTCCCCCACGGGGGGGTCGTCAATTTGGGACCATGTTTTCGCACCCTTGGGGGCGTTAGGGCCCCCTTTGGACGCTTTCGTGGCCCTATTGGACCCTTTTGCACCACCTTGAAGCCGTCTTCAGTCCTCAGATGCCCATCGAAGGTCGCGATCGCTTGGGTTGCTGGTGGTTTTTGTTATCGGTCGGTGCTCATAAGCATGTTGTGCTGACCCAGCTGGACTACAGTCTGCCCGAATAGTAAGGATGAACCATTTTCCAAGTTTACCCTTGCATCCTTCCCCTTCGGCCCATTCTTGGCCGCTTTCGCTCGGCGCGTCCCGCTTGCAAAGTGTCGACATGGCCTTCCTTATTAGACGGGTTGACTGTGACAGGAGGACGAGGATGCCGGGGCGCGCAAACGAGTAATAGGTGGAGGGGGGCGACAGTGCGGCATAGGTTGGACAGACGCAGTTCGAGTGCGGCCTCACAGCAGCCTGCGGCAATCGCACCAGCCGTCCATGGTTGCACCAGGCCAACTGCGGCCGTGATGTGATGCAGCTTCGTCGTTGCGCGCTTGGGTGTCCACCTCATCACTCCCATTATCCTCCTCCCCATTCCCCGTCCTTGTCCCCAAGGGTTTCCGCTGAAATCCAATATTGCAAGGCGTCGGGGCTGAATTTCCTCGTTGATGGCGTGGTCGATGAGGCCTCCGTCATTTGGGGTACGTGGAAGTGGCTGACGAGGCGCACGCCTTTCGCTCAGGGTCCACGGTGCGTCGCTTTCGCTGCTCCCCAATGCAGCGTCCTTTTACAGACGTTCCGGAAGTCCTGCGATAGGTGGGTCTCGCTTCGCCACCTTGCCGCGGGACCTCATTCGTTTGAGGTTTCCGGGCAAGCGTGGCACGCGAATGGAAATTGGTACGGCGCGTTTCTCCGTTATTGGTGAAGTGTCAATGCAAGGCCGCCTTGCGTGGCCATTCCATTTTGCCAGTTCTTCTGAAGGTCATCAGGAAGTCTACTCTTTTTGGATATCCTTGACGATCTTCCCTATTATGTCCTTTTCTTAGTGCTCATGCGCGCACAGTCCAGAGGAGATCTGCGCTTCGTTTTTGTGCTGCCAGCGGGGACCTCACCGCAGTCACGGGTACTCCAGCACGCTGTTATGAATGCGGGCAGGTATTTGTCTTGTGGCAAGTGTGAGGCCTTCTCGTGCGCCAGTGCTGAGAAAATGTTGACCGCCTGCACAAGAGAACTGGCTAGTTCTCATACACCGTACAGGCGGGGCAGGCTCCGATAACATTCATGTTGAATGAATTGCTACCTTCCTTCTGTCATATTGCCACTCTCTTGTGGGCCACGCTCGTGCTTCGAATGGCCCGTTCTTTACCCAGCAAGATACATTGCATAGCGACTCTCTGCGCCCGCATCCTCCTCTCAATCCATTATCCTCCTTCCTCCTCCTCCTCAAGTCGCAGAGCGTAGGTCTGCGGGACAGCTCGATGCAGCGACTGCTGTCCCCGCGTACCGAAGAACTTCCCGCGAGTTTCCGACACCCCCTTCAGGCCGGAAAGCAGGCATTCTTGGGACTTTTGACGAGCGTCTCGGCGCCACGTCGAGCCTAGCGTGCTAGCATTGGGACCTCTTTGGCATTACTGGTGACATCCCTCTTGGGGCGTCTTGTGGCTCTCCGGGTCCTCTCAGTACCTTGGGCAGTCTTGGAGGTCATCAGACAGGGTGGAGCAGTGTTTCGGCAGTTTTTGTTGTGAGTTGCTTTTGCTGGTTTCGGTCTTACAGCCTCGCGCTCCCAGAGGGGTCCGCGGATGGTGTGTCGCTGGATCTGTTCGGCATGGTGCGTGGAAGGCGTGCGGCAAGGTCTGTGACCATCTCGCAGGGCTGCGGCCTGCGGCAAGGCTTAAGTGTTTGTGCGGTGGTTGATAACCTTGCATCCTGAAGCGTGGATTTGCTGAGCAGTATTTCTGGAGAGGCTTCAACTCTCAAGTTTGTGGTCTGCGGCGCAGCTTGGTGCGGCGACCGAGGACCTTGCGTACTGAAAATTGTGTTGCCATTGTCTGTACAGACGTGGCGAGCAGGTCGCACAGAACTTCGATTCGAATGATTGCGCTCTGTGGAGAGGGTTGGTGCGATTGTTCGTAGCCCTGCGCATCGGACTGGCGCGTCACCACCAAGTTCGGCGGCCAGCCCAGAAGGGAGGTGGGAAGGGGCGGGCCTTCTCAGAAGGCTCGGAGGGACTGTGGCCTCCTCAGAAGTTTCTCTAAGTTTTCCCCGAGTGCACAGAGAACTTCCCAGAAGAACGGAGGGCTTCTGAGAAGCCCCGCCGCCTTCTGAGAAGGCCTGCCCCCATCTCGTTTCCCCCCTTGGCGTGCCGCCGACATGTGGCTCCTCCAATCCTCTCGGTCCCTCGCCCCGCCCAATTCACAGAGCTGCGGTTTGCGGCGCAGCTTGGCGCGGCGGCAGACAGCCTTTAACACTGAGACGCGAAGACTTAGCGAGCGGGATGCCTGGAAGGACTTCGACTCGCAGGGTTGCGGTCTATGGCGCGGCTTGGTGTTGTGGAGCGTAGCTTTGCGTTTTGATTTCCAGCGCGTCGACGATATGTCTCGCCTTTGCAAGTCGCAGAGGCACAGAATCGGGATCGAAATGGGTACGGAAAGAATGGGTACAACGATTGACAGCACGATCTGTTCAATTTGAGCAGGGCTCGCCGTTAGTGTCACCGCGGGCGCTGTCCATTTGAGACAGTAGGCCCGCTTGCCCAACAGCGGCCACTGTCGGGTTTGGGCAACATGTGTTGTTGGGCATCGTACCCATGCTTGTTCTTACCCACTTTGGGCGCCCGAACAAAACAAACACATATTGTCTTGCAGCGGGAATTTGAGCTAAAGCTGAAAAAAAAGATGGCAAGGGCTTGCGATAACGATCACGACCACGAGCATCGAAGGGAAACGCGAGGACGAACCATCCACGTGCGAGATCCTCACATCTCAAATCGCCTTGTCATTTGGAAGCCAGCTGCAGTCTCAGCCTTGCGCTCGCTGGAGTTCGTAACTGGTACAGCTGAAGGTGGAGCGGGGGGCTTGCGCACAGAAGGGCGTGCTTCTCTTCCTTCTCATCCTCCTCTGTCTCCGTCTCCTTCTCAGGGCAAGGCCACGGCGGACTACACGCTGCACGGCTTCGAGGGCACGTCGAGGGCGAGGCTGGACGACGACAAGGGAATGCCGCTCTTAGTTTCAAGGAGGACGTGCCACGTGCAGGGTCGCAAGTGTCCGAACTCAAGTAATCCTCTGCTCATGCCTCACGTCGGAAGGGTCAGCTCCGAAGCTCCGAAGTTTGGCATGTTCAGATGCTGGAGGGAGGCCTGGTGGGCAATTGTGGCAGTTCGAACGGGCTTACTTCTAGCCGCAATATGCTGTTTGCCAGTCGTTGATGGGAAGGTTTCGCATGCCAACGGACATTGGTGAAGTCAGTTGCATCATACACTATACAATGTCTTGTGCAAAGAAAGTAGCAGACGTGTCAGTGATACTTGACAAATGCAACGCGTCGCACTGGAGGACGATCCTTGACTCGCAGAAAAAGGTGGGGGACAGCGATGATGACGAGGACGCGATGTTCCCACCTCTGGAGCCACGGGTAGACTAAAGCTGCTGGTCGGCGCCCAGAGCCAGCGAATCAGCGAATTGTCCTTTTGGGGGGAGTTGTCGCCCTGTCCAGACCACGCCTTTTCTCTTGTCGTTTTCCTCTCTCTTGCCCTTGGTGGGGGAAGGGCGGGGGGGGCAGCGATCTCCCGACCGTTGTGGAATGCGATTGGCGTCCATACATCAGCCCGCTGCGTCCTCCCAGGATCCTCTCCGATTGCTTTGCCCCTCCTCCCCCCGCCAGAGTATGGCCCGTGCTGAGAGCGCACACATTAATTTTTCAGTCAGCAGCTGTCCCTCAGAACCTTTGACAAAGAACTGCGTAAACATAATTGTTCGGAGGTCCGCGCGGATTTCTTGGATCGGCGCTGGAGCCCACGAGACCTGTGGGACCCGTGAGGCCTGCAAAACTTGCGGGACTAGTGGGACCCGTGGTTTGGCGGGGCTTGCGGGGCATGTCAGGGTTGTGAAACATGAGACACCTCTGCGACCTGCGAGACCTGTCGTACCTGTGAGACCTGCCTGTAGGGCATGCAAGACCTGCGACGCTTGTGGGACCAGTGGGCCCTGTGGAACCTGTCAGACCGGTGGTACCAGTGGTACCCGTGGAACGACCAGCGACACTTGTGGGTTCTGTGCGACCTGTGGGGCCTGCGAGACTTGAGAGACCTGTGGGATCCAGAAAATTCCCCACGCTGAGGCGGGAGCGCCATTCTGAACGACGGGTGTACAGCGCCGATCCGAATATGAGGCCCATGCTGCAGCGAGAACATGATTCTGGAAGGAGCACAGACGACCGAATTGAGAAACACGCAAGAAAAGCTCGCCCGCGCAAAACATGCGGGCAAGAATAAGACAACCGTACGCGAAGGGGGGCGGTTACTCTCAGGACCTCCTCTGCACGTAGCCGAGGGAGAGAAGGGGCTAGTATTCATAAAGTGTAATCGTCGCGGCGGCACCGGGAGGGCGCGGGGAGGGCGGGAGGAGGGCGAGGGGGGGCAGCACGCGACAGGTGCGCGTCTGGGCCTTCGGAGGCCCGAAGCTGGTGGCGGGACGGCCGCGCGCCGCGCCAGGCCATGACGTGGCGCAGGTCTAAGCCATGAGCACTGCTCGTGCAGACTCGTGGGCGCTGCGGTCTAGGCCTCCAGGATGGGGTCCAAACGGGCGGGGTCGGAGCATCGCAGATGTAGCGGCGATGCGTCTCGATGTAGAGCCAGATTTTCTCCGCGCCGACGTCGCCAGTGCATCGCCGATGCATCGGCGATACGGCGCGATCCTCCACCCCGTCTGCTCGGACCCCATCTGGGAGGTCTCCATACAGTCGAGCCTGCTTGGTAGGTCGGCCCTGCCAGAGCAGGGGTGCCCTTGTGCCCTGCGTGTTGTCGCGCGCCCGTGTCCCCTGCACTCCCGGGGCGTGGTCCTCGGAAGGGTCTTGTATTCTCTCGCGTAAGTACAGTCGAGCTCGATTGCCAATCGATCTCGACTGTACCCTCAGCAGCCTGCTGCACTTCCTGAGGCGCTGCTCATGCAGATCCTCCTGGAGCGCAGGCGTCCGACGCACTGCTTTCGCCAGCCCGCGGGCCCCAGAAGTATCGGCCCAGCGTCCCGCTCCTGGTCAGTGTTTTTTTTGTATTGTTCCAGGCCCCGAAATTGGGCCCCCCGAATGCGGAGCGAAAGCAAGCCGTGCATGGACATGAATACACGTCGGCCTCGAGAGTATGCAATGCGCGAACGTTCGTATCACAGGGTGGTCTCGCGGATTGGGGGGCCGTGCTCACATGCGTGCGTCCTTCTTGGGGACTGGGAGGGGCGCGAGGCTGCGACGGGCTCGCCCGGCTCCCACGGCAGCCATTCGGCGGCGAGCTTGGGGGAGAGAGTGAGAAGGAGCGGGCTTTCGCAGAAGGCTCGGAAGGTCTCGGGCCTCCTGAGAAGTTCTTTCTAATTCCTCCCCCCGAAAGAGCAGACAACTTCTCAGAAGGCCGGGGGGCTTCTGAGGAGACCCGCCGCATTTTGAGAAGGCGTGCCCCCCCCTCATCGTCCTCCTGCTCCTGCTCCGACTCCACTCCTCCTCATCCTCCCCCTCCTCCTCCTCCTCCTCCTCCTCCTCCTCCTCCTGCTTCTTATCTTCCCCTTCCTCTTCCTCTTTCCTCCCCTCCTCCTCCCTTCCTCTTCCTCCTCCTCCTCCTCCTCCTTTTCCTTTTCCTCTTCGCTCCCTCCCTCCCTCCCTCCTCCTCCTCCTCCTCCTCATCCGCTTCCTCTTCCTCTTCCTCCCCTTTTCTTAGCGGCGATTCCAGTGCCCGCCGCCGTGCCAGTCGAAGCTCCAGCGAGCGATAGGAACACAGAGCCCTATGGACCTCCTAGCAGCTTCGGCTCTCTAACTCGGCCCAGCGTGATAACACCCCCGTACCTGCTAATACCCAGGGGATGGAGTCCACACGTGCCAGCCAGATGTCGGAAGACCACCAGCAGCCCGCGGAGGGGACCTCCGCCCCAGCCAGACAGCAGCCGCCGTCTGAGCGATGTCTGGACCGAGCATCGTGTACAAACGGGGATGCTGAACCCGACTGCTGCTGCCCCGCTGCTGCTGTTGCTCGACCCGTAGCTTGTAGCTTGTTTCATTCAAACTTGACACTTCACTCACCCTCGGACAGCTTCACGGCGCGTGGGCTTCTACGGTGGAGGCTACCATACACAGTCACCACCAGCAGGACCATTTCGGGCGCTCAAGAGCTCAGGGCCCCGAGTTTCATGTTGTGGCGGTGCGGGAGGCTCAGACCAAGCGAGCCACCGCCTTTCGTGACTCGAGTAGTTCGTGGTGGACACGGTTGTACACCACGCTACAACACATCTACCGCCACCGAGCTCGTGGCAACGGCCAGCGGCAGCTCCAGCAGCTGCACGAGGCCGTGGGCCGTCTACAGCAGGAGGCGCCCGCTGGCGCCGCCGCTATCATCAAGCCGAAGGACGACAGACCTTGGACGAAGTGGTTGGAATTGCTCGGCCGAGTTCGCACCACCCCTGTCGGGGAGCTGGTCGACTACGCAGGAGCGGCTGACTTTCTCGCCCGACGCTCGCAGCGACGAGCAGTTGGAAAGTCTCTCTTCGAATTTCGGGAATGGGCTACGACGGCCCCAGCCTTGAGCACGCTTCGCCGCTCGCTCAAGCCGCAGCCCCAGCCAGCGGAGTCGACCCAGGTTGGCAACCGCACCCTCGTGCATCCCATGGACCTGCTGGGCCACAAGGTCACCAGCTGGCACCAGTCGTGGGCCCCAGCAAGGCAAGCACTTGGTGGGCTCCCCGATTTATTTCAACAAGTCCTGGACAATATTCAAGATGATGGTCTCCCGCCACTTTCTGGAGAAGATGTGCGACGTGCCCTCCGACGGCAGCGAGCACGCACGGGCCTGGGCGCGGACCGTCTTAGCCCGCTGGACCTCCTGCGTCTGCCACATGAGGTGCTCGAGGAACCCGCTTGCCTGTATAACATCATGGAGCAGATGCAGATGTTGGTGCGACCTGGGGGCCAAGGCCCTCGAGCTGGACTTCCCCGCAGAAGTTTTGGGCCTAGAGCTCCCCCGGCGCGTTGCCCCCGGGGCCCTCGCCCAGCGCGTCAGCAACGCGGTGCCCTTTTCAGCCAACGCGCTCGGTAGTTCAAGGACTCAGATCAGGGACTCGCTTCGCCAAGTGCATCGCGTATCAGGCGATGCGACGAGTCGCGCAAGTTCACGCGAGGTGCTCTCGCCGCATATGGGTGGATGATTTGTCGCAGCGGATGCAGGGATTGCACCGGGCCATCCGACGTGACCCCTTCAAATGTCTACTGGGCACTTGCCGCGCACTTCGCGAACGGGGGCTCAGCATAGCCAAGAAGAGCATTGTTCTGCGCTCCAGCATGGACGACTCGAGGTACGTCGCGCGCGGTCTGGCTCGGCACGGTTTCAAGGTAGCGCCCGAGGCCCAGGCAGCGCACCTCGGCGCAGATCTCGGCGCAGGAGCACGACCAGCCCGAGGCGCAAGGACACAGAGGCACATCGTGCACAGGCTGCAGCACAGGGAGACAGCGCGCCTCACCCGCGCCTCTCGACGTCGCCATGTCACGGGCAGGCTAGCCCTCCAAGGGGCGCAAGCCGCAGGCAGTTACGGACATCAGCTCCATGGAGTGTTCGGCGCTTAGTTAGCCCTCTCCCGCCGACGCCTCTCGCTGCGGCCGAGGCTGCAAGGGGGGTGTCTGACTACCTTGCTCGACTTCAAGGCTGCCGCCTCCGACCCCGCCCGCAAGTTCCCACGGGGGGCCACCCGGCAGCGGGTCGCGACGTGGATCCAGGCGTGGCCGATGGAGAAGGCCACGCATCACACATGGGACTCCGCCCTCAAGCATTTTCAGCCACTACTCAGCGGGCGACGCGTGCGCCGCATCAAGGGGCCGAAGTCCGTCATCATTATGTATCTTCTGGACCTGGGCTGGAACCCGAAGCGGCCGCGCGACCGGGCACCCCCGCCGGCCATGATCGGGCTTGGCGGGCAGGGCACCTGGGAGTTCGATCGCCCGCGGCTCACGGGGAACCTGCGCGTGAACGCGGACGTTCCCGACGCGCTGTTGCAGGGCATTGACTGCAGCATTCGAGCTAAATTTTGGGCACGGGCGAGTCAGCACAACGAAGGATCAGGCATGGGGAACGGCATGGGCAACAGGTCCTACCGCAAGTTGCTCTCTGGCCCAGAAGAAACAGGGTCGACGGCTATCTACCCTGATGCTCACCATCGCAGCGGGGGCCACATGGCCGAATGCGCGAGTGTTGGAACAGACCAACGCCATCACCGACGGCATGTGTCCACGTTGCCAGCTGAAGAAGGAAACGCAATGCCATCGGACTTGGGGGTGCGCCGCCCACCAGAACTGCCCCGTGCACGACGCCGCAGAGCGCGCGATAGGCGAGGCGACCGCGCAGCAGGACATGTACGAGCGCTACTGGACGCGCGGCCTCA